GGCATTTGAAACCTCAAAGTCAACCCTAAGCTACACATTCCTTCAACAAGGCCACACTTCCTAATCCTTCTCAAGTAGTGCCTGCCACTCCCTGATGATTAAACATTCAAACATATGAGCCTGTGGGGGCCTTTGTTAGTCAACCCCCCACAGTGTGTCTGTGTGCACATGTGTGTATGTATGTGTGTGCATGTGTGTATGTGTGCTTGCCTGCATGTGTTCACGCACATTCATTTGCCCGTGAGCCAGAAGACAATTGTTAATCCTCACATGCTAACCACATCCATCTTCCCTTTTTTCCTTCCTGAGAAAGGGTCTCTCACTGGCCAGGGAGCTTCAGGGCCTCTGCCTTAGTGCTGGGATTGCAAGCCTATGCCTCTACTCCCGACCTTTTAAGGATGCTGGAGATCAAACTCAAGTCCTGTGCTTCCAACGCAACATTTTACCAGCTGAGCTATCTCTGCGGTTCCCCTCATTACCTTTCTTTGTTGATGACTGGATTCTTTATTTTTATTTTTTATTTTATATACATAGATCTTGAGACTAAACTCATGTCCTCCCACCTGGAAAGCAAGTACTTTGCCAAGTGGGCTAGTTTTGCTTTAAAAAAAAATTTTTTTTTTTGAGACAGTGTCTCTCTATGTAGTCCTAGCTGTCTGGGAACTTGCTACATAAACCAGTTTGGCCTTGAAATCAGAGATCCGCCTGCTTCAGCCTCTCTAGTGCTGGGATCAAAGGCATGTGCCACCAGGCTCGGCTATTGCTTAAAATTCTCAAATGCTTAAAAAAAAATGAACTTTGGGAAACTGTGTGAATGTTGTAAGCTCAGTACTATACACAAAAGACATCTCTGAAAGAAGGTGTCGCTCTGAGTGAGAAGAGTGTAGAGAGCAGGCCTGTCAGAGCCAAACCTAGAGCCCATGAGCTGACAGACCTTAATAGCACAAAAGGCAGTGCTCTGGCTGCCAGGAAGAATGCTCATCACCTGGAATTAGAGGCAAAGGAGGACTGTGAGTCCTTACAGCGTCACTCTCAGGGGGACCGTGGGTTCCTACAGCATCACTCTCAGGGAGACCCTGGGTCCTTACAGCGTCATTCTCAGGGGGGCCCTGGGTCCTTACAGCGTCACTCTCAGGGGGACCCTGGGTCCTTACAGCGTCACTCTCAGCGGGACCGTGGTTCCCTACAGCATCACTCTCAGGGGGACCGTGGGTTCCTACAGCATCACTCTCAGGGGAACTGTGGGTCCCTACAGCGTCACTCTCAGTGGCACCGTAGGTTCCTACAGCATCATTCTCAGGGGGGCCGTGAGTCCTCACAGTATCACTCTCAGGGGCACCGTGGGTCCCTACAGCGTCACTCTCAGGGGGACCGTGGGTTCCTACAGCATCACTCTCAGGGGGACCGTGGGTTCCTACAGCGTCAACAGTGGAACCGTGGGTCCTTACAGCATCACTCTCAGGGGGACCATGTGTCTTTACAGCATCATTTTCAGGGGACCGTGGGTCCCTACAGCATCATTCTCAGGGGACCGTGGTTCCTTACAGCATTACTCTCAGGACTGAGCACTGGACCGACTTGATTTTGAAGGGGGATGCCCTTCTATTTCAATGACTCACTGTGGCATGGCCCAGACATTACTAAGTCCTGTGCCAGTCTGTGGGTATACACAAGTCTGTGCATGTGCACATGTGAAGATGCAAAGATTCTTTTCTAGGACAAAACTATTAAAATGAATGTTTTATTGCCCCCCCTCGACAAAAACCTAGCAAACTTACTGCCTCACATCTTTGCCAATTCAATATACAAATCTCTGTCTCTCAGATGATCTTTCCAAGCAGATTCCCATTCTTCTAGTACCCCCATCAGTGAGTTGAGTAAGTCACTGACTGGTGATAAGTGTGTGTGTGTGTGTGTGTGTGTGTGTGTGTGTATGCACACTTTTATAGAAGCACAAGTGAGGGACTGTAGAAGAAATGAAAGGACACAAATATTAGGGTTTATTGCTGTGACTCATCAGATTAGACTGTCACAAAGGCTAGATTTCACACTCCTGAAGGCAGCTTATTTAGGTTTAGGACACAAGTCAGGAGAAGAGGTAGCGAGTGACAGCCCGACCCAGGCTCCATGCCAGGAAGTACCATGCCAATGCTGTGTTCTCTACTTCTGAAGCTGGGGTTTTGTATGGTGTGGGTTTGGAAGGATGGAGACAATACGGGACCATGAAAGAAGTCTGCTGCCAACATGGCCAAGGTAGAGGACTGAAGCAGGTATCTGTAGCAGAAGCTAGGTCTGGGTACTGTGTTTGTTTGAGACGGAATTTCTCTGTGAAGTTCTTTCTGTCCTTGTACTTGCGCTATAGACCAGACTAGCCTAGAACTCAGAGATCCTCCAGCCTTTGCCTCTTGGTGCTAGGATTAAAGGTGTGTGCCATCACTACCCAGCTCTGTGTATTGCTTTTAAGACAGGAGTTGTTTAACAGCCTATCAGTGGCAGACCCCTAACTAGTGATTCTTGTAAGACATCATTTTACTCTGCAGGCAAGGAAGTGCCCGGCTCAGTTAACAGCGTGGGACCTCTACTCTTTCATCTGCATACAGGGACAGCTGCACAGACAACACAGTGTCACAGAGATCAAGAAGCGATGCAGATGGCCAGGTCAGGGAAGCGGGAGCTGCATCAGCCAATCCTTCTGGAAAGAAGTGGGAATGGAGTCCACAAAGAGAAAGAGGAAAGGCATTACCAGCACAGGGACTGGGCACAGAGGAGATTAGGAGAGAGGTGGAGCCTGTCTGTGGCTTACCTAGGAAGGAATGCACTGAGATCACAAGACTAGGCTCCTTACACCTTAAGGAACCTAGTCAGGAGGTTGACAATCTACTGTCCCATAGTGATAACAAAAAAGATAGGTAAAGGAATTGCACCCAGGTGCTTGCTTCCCATTCCAGTCCCCAAAGCTACTGTAAGGAACCCTTGCTCCCTCCCATGATCTCACTCCAGGCTCAACTGAGTTTTGTCTGCTCTAAGAAGTCCGTCCAAACTCACTGCCTAAATGTCTCCATCTTTAGCTGTTCTCTTTTAAAGACTGGAGTTTACAGAGACCCTGTCTGGTCCAGTCTTGCCCCTCTTTCTTCTTGGAGGGCTCAGACTCTGTGGTCTGACTCCGCTCCTGCAGATTGTCTCTGGTTTCCTCTATGCCATTTATATATGTGTCTACTTCCTGACTTACATTCTTCATCTTCCCTTCTCCAAACTGACTGCTTAGTATTAATAATATCTTTTTATTGCATCATTTGTTTTTATTTTTTTCAATTGCCATGTTGCTGTCAGTTTGAGAAGGGAGGCACATTATGTGTAGACTTTTTTTTTTTTTTTGTCATCCTGACACTTCTGTTAAGACCGAGTTTCCTAGGCTAGACTCCAAGCTCTTAGTACCCTGACTGACAGCTACAGCTCACCAAAGGCCCAGTATTGTGCTGCCCCTTCGTGCCTGCTGATTAGCTTTTGGTTAGCACATCATTCAGTCCGCTTCTAGCCACAGCTCAATTGTTGGTTATTCGCCTACAAACCCGGATTGTCCAATAACCCCACCCTTTTCCCTGAGATTGTAACCCACCAGCTCTCAGCAGAGCCTAAGGGATTTGAGGACCCAGGAATCTGCGTTGCTCAGGGCTTCTTGGATATCCACACCACCAGAAAGCAGAGATCAGAGTGTCCCAATAGGGAAAAAGGAACTCCCAAGAACTCCTCAATCCAGAGTCACATAGTCAGGGCTCATGAAGACTCGCGAGTCTTCTGACATCATTCTGAGCTCACAACTCTGGCAATGCGGTGGCTACAGGCCCAGTAGTGCCCGGCGGCAGCCGCAGAAGAAAGGTCTGCAAAGAGCCAGGCCGAGGAAACCCAGCCTTCTCCCTGAGCAGCCGCCAGGTGCCATCTTCAATGGCGTACACTAACGTGGATACACGGTTGACAGTATAGACGGTGTCCCCACGCACCACGGACGTGAAGAGTGCTCCCTTGCTGTTGACAAACTGGCCAGGTAGCGATGTCCACTGGCCTGTGACCAGGTTGAGGCAATCGATGGCACAGTGCAGGAAGTCATCAGAAGGTCCATTACGCACCACATAGAGACTGTCACGATGGGCCACCATAAAGTGGCCGTAGCTCTGCGAATGACACAGTTCAGCCACCGGCAGCCACTTGTCCATCTGCACCACGTACTCAACGACGGCAGTGATATCTGCCGGCCTCCACAGGCACACAAAAAGACGGCCACGCGTATGGGCACAGGGAACCCCTGTAGCTGGCTGTGGCAAGTCCGCCACAAAGCTCCAGCAGCCTGTGGTGGGATCGTAGCACTCCACGGAGCTCATGGGCGTCCTCTGGAATTCGCCACCAATGGCATAGAGGCGACCTTCAAAGCCGGCCAACGCCAAATCATAGCGTGGTTGGTGCGGGCTGGGGAACTCGCCCCAGGTGCCACCTTCTGGGTCATAACAGAAACTCAGTTCCACAACCTCCTTGCTGGCGCCGCACACACCACCCACGATGTAGAGCTTGTTGCCCAGAGTGGCCACGCCTGCCAGCAGCGTGCTGGCCTCCAAGGGCAGTGCAGCTAGCGTGCGCCAGGCGTCCTCTTCCTCGTCCAGGTAGCACATGGTGCGCGACGCGTCCTCTAGGAAGCCAGGTGTGGGTGTGTGCGTGCTCACGGCCACGTAGGTGCTGGGTCGCAGCCCCGCCACGTAGGCACGGGCCTCGGGCAGCTCCAATTCCGCCACCAGCTCGTGCGCGCCGTCGCGGATGAAAAGCGCGGCGCTGTGGAGCACGTCGTGCAGACCGAAAGCGGCGGCTGCGTCGCACAGCAGCGAGCAGTTGTCCGATGTTACGCTGTACTCCAGGAAGCGCGCGAGCGCGGGCGCCTGCAGGAACGCGGCGCACTCCACCGCCTGCAGCAACTCGTCGTCGGCCGCTAGCTCCGGCCGCTCTCCGCGC